GTATATCCTTTGACCTCAGTTTCAGCTCAGTTTCAGCTCAAAGTTCTGAAACTGAGGGCTCAGTTTCAGAACTTTTTTCTACCCTCCTACACTGTGAGGTGAGGGTTTTGGAGGAAAAAACTAAATCAAAAGTTAAATAGATTAAAACCTTTGTCCAAACAATTATAGCCTACCTCTTTTAGTGTTTATATTGTTTGATTCCAAGAACTAGAGCAACAGAAACAGGATACTATACTGAGACAGGCTGCACTACCACGCAGCGACGGCTCATCAAATTTTGTCACAACAACTGTCTCATTTTCTCTCAGTACACACACCTGTTGGTTGATTTTGTTGCTCTGGGTCACTGTTATTAAAGTCATCAGATGTCTTTGTACTACTCTCTGCCCCCCTTGTTCCCTGCTCCACCTGTGTGCTACTGTTAGCTAATGTTAGCATCCACCGGCGTGGAATCAGTGAACATCTTCTGGCCCGTTTAACTTCTGACAACCTTTTTTTTTTAAATCTGCCAGCTTCAATATTGTTTCCGGTTCTTTATTTAAACTTGTTCTAACAAATAAATTCATTAATTTTAGGCACCGCTCCAACTTCTTTTGGTGAATTAGAATCAAGGTTTTGCCGATATCCAAGTCCCGCCCCCACCTGATTTCTTATTGGCTACTAGGCCTGTCTGGTGTGTTTAAGGTGAAAGCTGCTCCTCTGTTGGRTCTAAATCTGTATCAGCTGGATGTGTACCTGCTGCTGCTGGTTTCCAGCCTCCGCCTGCTCCCTGCTTCCTTCTTCAGCAGAGCTCTGCAGCTGGCTCGGTGGAGGAGCCCTCATTTCCAGCAGAAMCCTGTYCAYGGCAGCCATGGCGGCCTCACGGCAGAGCGCCATGAGGTCAGCTCCGACATAGCCTGGGGTGAGCCGAGCCAGCTGCTGGTAGTCGAAGTCTTCGGGCAGCGTCAGCTTACGACACAGCGTCTTTAAAATCCTGACACAACACACGGAGTTCTGATTGTATCGTAGTCACAGCTCTCATCAATAATTAGAATATTTTATAGAAATATGCAGGTATTTTTCTAAATGTTTCACAGAGATCAATAGGAGCAAACCACTTAGTAATTATTTATCCTTCAAAACTGGATCAGGTCCTCTTTTATCAAGTATGGCTCACCTGAGACGAGCGGACTCATCAGGKATACCCAGACAGATCTCTCTGTCGAAGCGTCCAGCTCGGCGGAGGGCCGGGTCGAGGGAGTCTGGTCTGTTGGTGGCCCCGATGACCAGAACCTGAGCTGTCACAGTCAGACTGTTCAGGTCTGCAAGAAGACAAGCAGCAGAAAACTTTGGAGGTCAACGTTCAGTCAAAGGATCTGCTTCATTTTAAACAGAAGCTCAGCTACAGCTGCTGTCCCTTTWAGAGGTGAAAGGTTTTGCTGTTATTAAAGGCTTCRTTTGTGAAAGGCTGAATAAAAGTCACAGATTCCAGAGTTCAGTTTCATGTAAAGACTCAGCGTCTGATGCAGGCTGACCTACCATCCATGCAGGTTAACAGCTGGGCAACAATCCTCCTCTCCATGTCTTTAGAGGCTACCTCCCGTTTAGGGGTGATGGCATCGATCTCGTCTATGAACAGGATACACGGACTGGAGCTCTGCAAGGAGGAAAAAAGTTATGTCAAGGTTTTCACTGCATCAGTTTTGCAACGGAAACATTTGTTTTCACTAAGCATTTAAAATACAGTAGATGCTTTTGATGACTGGATGAGCTGCTACAGAGAATCACATCATTACCATGATCTCCCACATATTTATATGCAATCCTTGTGTCATGAGCTCTGTTTCTGTAACTTTCTAAAGATATCTGGGTAAAAAGATGGATTT